AGCAGCCTCAACAACATGGCCGCTTTGAACTGTCAAAATTTACCCGCCCTTTACTTGTAATAAACACCCGTTAAATCATTTTTAAAAGCAACTGAATAAAATACGTTCGTCTGGCGCCCTAACCGAATTTCAGTCGAACGTAAACTACAAGATTCAAAAAACGCGATTCATAACTTTCAAAATTACGTGCGTCTGGCCTCACCCTTATGCTTATATTTTGCTTACGATCAAGAGCAATTCAGAAAAAAATATTACGGTCCAATAAATTTCCTCATTTTAAGCTAGTCCGCCGCAAGAGCTTAGCGATTTAATAAAAAGAAAAAACGCAAAGGAAAAAATCCAAGAAAGTATATTTGGAGGTTGTTATAATTGTTTACTGATTTCTGCATTACAGCGGTGAGATTTCTAAACGTGTCAGAGACCATTTTCAAGTGGCTGAACAAATAATCATAATACGTTCTTAGTGAAACATTATTTATCCTGTACTGTTTAGCATATAAGAGCTATTCATTTATTAAAAGTTAACACTCAATTGTATAACGCCGTACTGTGCTAGGGTATGTCCAAAATGAAGTACACAATATTGCTAATAACTAGTTATTGGTTAGGAATTAGTTGCAAGCTTCAAGACCCATATGTATATCCTGAGAATGAAGGTAAGGTTTTTGATTTTGAATTATTGAGTCAATGTTCTTAAACTTAGACTACCTCTGTCGCCATGTATGCCATTTTAGTGGCAATAGAGCTCATTGTGAAAGAGTATGTCCAGGGAAGTACTGCCACCTTACATATTTCTGCCGCCAATTTGTAATGCGAGCGTTACTGCTTGAGGGTTAAGTGTGGTTGTGGAATCACAGGCACATGGGACTTATCAACTTATGTCTCAGAATGACGGGCGCAATGGCAGTGCCCCTCAGATTCGAAAAGATAGTTTCCCTTCCCGTGTGTAACAATAGCGAAGAATATCGCTGACAAAATCAAGTTAAAACACAATTTTCTTTTTGCAGCTACCTGTCAACTGAAGGCATACCCGCCAAGCCCAGACAGTTCATGTTGCGGAATAGACACCACCAGTACCTTTAGTATTGTGGGTGAGTACAATAGTGTTACAACACTGTTTAATGAACAGGAAGCTCAACTTTGCACTTGAGATTTAAATTAAATCGGCCCAAAGACCAAACTGAAGCTTTGTGCTGCTGTCTGTACACTCACAAACACATTTAGAGGATCACTATACGATTGAATTATATAATTATACTATATGGTCGCTTCTTTTTTGGAGAGCTAAGTAAGCATCTCGAATTAGTCGTCGTTCAGCTACTGAGTACTAGATGGCAGCACATTGAGTGAAATTTCTGAACGTTGTAACTTGCTATAGGTAATAGGTATTTAACTTTAACTTTAGTTTAAATTATATTAACAGTCCAGAATTTATTACTTCTTTTTAAATTACAAACTACGATCAATCATTAATCAAGATTTCATAGTCTCAAATTAGGAATGCGTGAGTTTTGGCGATATTGGTTCTCATAGTAATCGAGTCTTAAGGCACTACTACTGGTTTATTTCTTCCGTGATTTCAACCTTTAACTTTACCAACGAATTCCTTGCAGGTGGCGACAAAACAGACCTAAAGCAGTACCCCTGGATGGCAATATTGCAATTTAAAGTGGAGGACCAGAGCGAGTTGCAGCAGAAATGTGGCGCCTTTCTCATTAGTGGCACATACGTCCTCTCCGCTGCGCATTGCTTTACTGACACGAATGCTGTTCTGTAAGTTCAGTTTTCTAGATCATTTTTTCTAGATTTCTAGATAAATGTAAAGTCTATAGCACGTTGGGCTTCACGTTTGCTTATTCATTTAAAGCAAGTAAAATTTAAAGTGCGAAAGTTATTGATAGATCAATAACTTTTTTACGAAAAACAAAACCGTCCTTAAACGTTTGTGGAATTACGTATATTTGTCAAGTTTTACGAAAATCAGTTTTGTTAAACTGGGTAATATCCAATTAACCGGAATCACTTCCTAATTTGCCACCATTTTAAAGGAGGAAAATTCTCCAAATTTGAATCGGATTAGGCACTATTGAGGTAGCCCATTTGTTATAATAAATAATCACATTTCAATTCAAGTTTACATGTCTCGCCATCGCACACTTTTACTGTGATATTGGCTGTTGCTTCGTAAAGTTAAATTTTAGTAGCAATCGAGAGCTCTACTCTCTTGTGAAAGAGTTCGTCCAGGGAAATACTGCCACCTTACCTATTTGTACCGACACGCACTAACGTGAGCATTACAGCGTGCCGGTTTTGATGGGTAAGGTTGGATTTTGATGGGACTTCTCAACCTATGTCTCAGGGTGACGACGGGTGTAGCGTTAGTGCCCCTCAGATCTTTGCGATTTAGTACTCTGAATGACACTGCAATGGGCGTGTCGCTTACTACTTGTGCGTCTCGTCCCTTGATATCATAATAAAACACAATCTAAGTTCACATAAATTAATATAATAAGTAGATAGATAGATAGATAAACACTTTATTGCTCACACACAAGAACAAGAATAGTACATAAACAATTTAAAACTAATGTGGGCAAAGGCGGTCTTATCGCTAAGAGCGATCTCTTCCAGACAACCTTAGAGTTAGAGGAATGCTAATCGGAGCGGGAGACGTAGTGTGCCAATTTGACAAATATATTAAAAAAAAAATTGTGTAAATTAAAAAAAAAATATAAAATAAAAAATTTAATAAAAACACACATATATAAAATATTTAAAAAATAATGATATATTATACCTACGTAGATATATGTATATATAAATATAAGTAATGACACATTTGTAGATAGTATAAAAATCTTCAAATTTTTTTATGTCATTTTTCCAGAATGAGCGTAGTTGTAGGTGATTACGACACGGGAAATAAAGGCCAAGATTGCGTAAGAGTGGACGGTCAGAGAGAATGTACTGAAGGAGCCCTGACGATCGCCGTTGAAAAATTTTCCGTACACGAGGAGTACAACCCAGACACGAACGACAATGATATAGTTTTGATTAAGCTAAAGAAAAATGCTCCATACAGAGGTAATCCATTAAAAAAAATTCATAGCTTTTGTTCCAATGTAGCCGCCACCCTTTGTAGTGAGTTCAGAAACAAACCAAGCATATATTTCTTATTAACACAAAGATCGAACACAAAGAATAAATTCCTTCGATCAGTTAGTTAGTGTCCAACCGGATTGAAGTATTTTTTCTTTGTGTTTAATCTTTGTATTAATAATTACAACACTGTTGGAGTAAGCGGGATCTTTGATTATTAGTTCCTTCATAAAAGTATGACTTTATTATGCGATTCACTATGAGCTAACACAGTAGGTATAATACAACAATTCTGTTCAGAGGGAGAAGTTATCCACTGTACGTGTAATTCTTTGAAGTTCAGACAAATAATATTCTCTGCCTGCAACTTGTTCGCATGCGACTTTAGATTTTAACGATTGTGTATTCTATTCCAGACTATATCCGCCCAATTTGCTTACCCACATCAGATATAACAGACAATCCTCCTGAAGGGTTGACGTTGACATCAGCAGGCTGGGGCGTGGTGGACCAAGTCCCTAGTTCCATTATAGATGACTTATGGATCAGCAAATATTCGACTATTAAGCGCCATGTGCATTTGCCTTATGTATCTAAGGAGGTAAAGATTATTTATTAAATACTTATTAATTAATTATACTTACTAATTATAAGCTAATTTTTTTTTGCACTCTAATAAAATACACATATCAATAAAATAGTAAAAAACTGATTCTGTACTTATCATATTTTAAAGTAAAACTCCGTTGCTACTGGAGACGCGCTACCAAACCGAAAGATAGTTTTTAGAATTTTTGGCTGTGTGTTTACGTATTTGTGTCCGCCAATAGCGGGCTTTACACAGACACTCTATAACGTGTGATACAGCAAGCGCAGGTGATAGAGAGCGCGTATAAAGACGTTGGAAGGAAAAGGGCAAAAAGCTCGCGACTACACTCATCAATGGCGCGCGCAACCCGACAAGCGACAGTTTCACGCGGCCTTTACACAAAAAAGAACCCTATTTTTAACCGACTTAAAAAAAGGAGGAAGTTCTCAATTCGACTGTACGTTTTTTTTTGTATGTATGTTACGCGATAACTCCGGTGTTTGTAAACCTATTTTCATGATTCTTTTTTTGTTGAAAAGAGGGTACCTCCATAGTGGTCCCATTTAATTTTGAAGGAAATCATCCACCTCTAAGGGTGGCTGTTCATGCATGAAAATTCATTTTTATAAATGGCGCCTAAATAATAATAATAATAATAATAATAACGCTCACAATCAACATAGCCCCGCACTAGGGAAACCCTGTGTCGCGGGTGCCATGGACACACACATAGACAACCACAAATTACACCCAAACTCACGAGAGAAATAAATGTAGGCCATACAAGTATTTCTCCCGGCCCGGGAATCGAACCTGGGACCTCTGCGTGGCAGTCCGGCATGGTAACCGTTCGGCCACGGAGGCAGTTAAATTTTAGTATAATGAGCAATTATTTTAATGGTTGATTTTGTTATTCATTAATGTGCGTTTTTCTCACTCGATATACTTTGGGTAGTGAGAACCGACTTTTATCCTCCTGTATCAAGTCCCGTATAGCGGCGACATAGGTTATATATATAACCTATGTCTATGGCGACAAGTTATCAAATTATTCCTAACATATACCTTGTCTACAAGACTATGTATAAGAACAGAATCCAATATGGCAGCTACTAAAAAAACTGTTACGTTATTTTGATTGGTAATATTGTATTGGAACAGATAATAGAATAAAATATTCACAAAACTGCAGTTTCATAATGTAAACGTCAATTCTACTTACAGGTCTGCAATGAAATATGGGGTGAAGTACCAGAGAAGCATCTATGTGCGGGCGGCGAGAAAGGCAAAGATGTCTGCATGGGAGACTCAGGAGGTCCTCTGATGTACGACAACGATGGAATCTATGAAGCTGTGGGGATCGTCAGCTATGGGCCTGGTAAACCTTGCGGAAAGAAATATATTCCCGGCGCTTATACCAATGTACATAAATATCTGAAGTGGATTTACGCAAACATAAAGGAATTTGAAAAGAAACCGTCTTCCTACAGAACTTGGTCTAATATCTATAACAGATATCCGACTAGAGGCAGAAGGTTTTATAGATATAGTACTAGAGGCAGGAGACAAAATAGATATAGGCATAGAGGCCAAAGATATAATACATATAGGATTAGAGGCGGAAGATATAATAAATAAAGAAATGGTAAAATATGGTAGATTATTTTACAAAATAACAAAGAGATTTTCGTTGAACACATAAGCACCTGTAATAAACATGAATGCTAATATTTTTCTGCGTTTTCTTTCTTCGCTTTTCTTGAGAAGATTTCATCATCATTAACTCATTGCGTATCCCATTGTCGGGGACCGATTTTTTCTAAAAAGAGCGTTTAGTCTAGAACCTGATACGCCGGCCGAATGCGTGTTGGATCTTTCTTGACATGCAGGTTTGACCATGATCCGGTCCCACGGGCCACTGTCGTACCACCTTGTGCAGATGCTGACCGGGCACGGCTGCTTCGGTCACTACCTGCACAAGGTGGCGAGGAGGGAACCGTCCCCGTCGTGCCACGAGTGCGGCGCTGCGGATGACACCGCGCAGCTCACCCTAGAGGTGTGTAGCCGGTGGGATGAGCACCGCCGCACTCTGACGGGGACTATAGGGCAGGACCTCTCGCTGCCGAGCGTGGTTGCCGCCATTCTTGATAGCGAGGAGTCCTGGGAGGCGGTGGCCTCCTTTTGCGCAGAGGTTATGTCGCAAAAGGAGGCCGCGGAGCGGGTGCGCGAGGACGCGGCGGACGCGCACCCGCTCCGGCGCAGACGTACGGGGAGAAGGCGAAGGCAGTTCGCGGCTCGCCTGATCCCCTAGTGAGACCAGCGGGCTCTGGACAGGGACTCCGGAGCCTGCATTACTCGGCCTCACTCGTCAGGGGGGCGGGTCGGAGGACAACCGACTCGCCCCTCCATTGGCGCGGGAGCCCTGGCGTAAGCTAGGGCGGCCGGGCGGCGTCGTGGTGAATGTTCACTGATCCCACGGCGCTCAACCGGCGAGAGGGAAACCCGGGGGGGTTTTAGTGGGGTAGGCCCTCCAGTTTGGAGGGAGAGTTCCCACATAACCCCTGAGTCTCCCTGGGCTCAGGGATATCCATAAAGATTTCCCCCGTCAAAAAAAATAATAAAAGGTTTGACCATGATGTTTTCGTTTACCGTAAGTTAGGAATTAAAGTTATAGGGTAACATATGGTATGTTCACAGGGATTCGAACTCCATAAAACAAACACCCGATTAAACGTTTTTAACGAAATCCTTAATCAGGTAGAGAAGTGTTCGCTTAGATCGATTTACACAAACTGCTAACTTAAGATATACCTATTTCGACCACCAAGCAGTAATGTGAGCATTATTGTCTTCCGTTTTTGAAGGGTGTGAGCTACATACCACGTGGCGCGTTGAAATGGCGCGGCGACGGCAAGCTGCGCATCAGACAAGGGGTCAGGAGACGAAGCGCGAAGGGACGCTGCGGTGCGTGTGTAAGGCGATTATCACACTACGCAGAGACGCAACTGTGCGGTTGTATACAAAACACGTGCCTTACAACCACTGACAACGCGGGGGTGCGGGGCGCATGACTACCACACACGCCTGCGCGGAGGACCCCGGCGAGACGCAGGGTAGGCACACTGCGCTCCGCACTACCGTGCAGATTTTTACGCGCAAGGACGTATTGGTGGCCATCTTTGTAATTCAGTTCAAATGATCCATTTGTCGATCTTGTTTTTAAAAATGGATGTATTCATTATCTTCTACGGGCACGGTGTCTTTTTATTCGAGTACACAAGAACCAAATAGACAATATAACCGCAGCGTTCTGAATGAGTTCTGTATTATTACCCATTTTTGTCAAAGATCTCGGCTATATGTACAATCACTGCGCTTATCAACTGCGAAGTGCATATGAAGGGCAATCCGCATGTTGCCGTAGATTTGCGTCTACATCACCGCACGCGGATCCGGCGTCCCGCACTCCGCTGCGTGGTGCGGGGCAGTGTGATAATCGCCTAAGCGGGTTAAATTGCGACACCGCATTGCTATGTTCGTTGAGAACAAAGCGTCGCGACGACACAACGAAACGACGTCGCCCGTGTGGCATCGCTCCAAATGTGCAAGTGAACTGCAACTGTCATGGATTAGCGTGTCGCTTATTACCAGGTTCCCGGCTTGCTCGTCCCGTCACTCGAAATCATAATTTTCTCGTTCAGGCTGTTGTACTCATGCAAGTGCTGTTAACAATTTAATCAGCATAGACACGATGTTAAATTTATACTGAACTCAGTTGAAACAAATAAGTCCTGAAGCAAGTTATAATAATAAACAATGTAAATGATAAATAAACCCAGCTCTCATTCACGTCCTAGATTATCGCATTATGTTAGTCCTTTGTTCCATGAGCAATGTCCAATGAAAATGTGTTTGTACGAGTAAATTTCAGCGATAGCAATTAAATTCAATCTATTTATTTTACCATTCAATTGAAATTTACAGACGACCGGTAAAAAATAGTGTACTCCAATAATAATTCTACCTTTTTTATTAAAATAATAAACCAATTTCAAAAGCTTGTGGAATAACATCTGTTTGCCAAGTTTTATTGAAAACGGTTAACGAAAAGTGGTTAAAATCAATAACCCTGATTTATCTCTAATAATTTGCTACGCTGAGAGGTGGAGGAGGAGAGGTATTGTTTTCAAATTTAAATGGGACAATGCTGAGGTGCCCTCTAACAAAAAAAGAATCATCAAAATCGGTTGACAAATGCCGGTCGAATATTACTTATTTGACAATAATTGTTTAGGACGAATGTCGGACGGAGAATGGGAACAGACCACCAGCAAAGAGCTCGAAACGTTTAGTTTTTGTTTGAAGAAAAAAACTAGATTTAGATCCAAAGATACTTAGTTAGTGCATTGCCAATGTGTAGCATTCGCGAAAACCTAACAACTCGATATAATACGTAATATATTTTTACCCGGCTTACAAGATTAAGGATACCTTCAATACAAAGAAAAGTTATCTGGAAGAAACTTGTACTTAGCCACAAGGCTTCTAATTGGAATTTAGGAAGTTGTAGTATTCGTTACCAGCTTTCCGTGTAACTGAATCGGAATTCATTGGACTGTTGGTTTGATATTTCCCATTCATAAACTGTGATATTCGTTTCGCTGTGTTTAAATGTAAATATTTATTTTTTTCAACCCCTCACCACCCTCTTCATCCGTCCCTGTTCATACGATAACGCGTTCGCAATTAATTTTTAATTCCGCTGCACGAATTTTGTGTTGACTTTTTAATTTTATTTAGGAGGAAATGTTTCTGTATTTTTTTACGGGCAAATTTAATTGGGATTTAGTGCAAACGAGTTTTTCCCGGCTTTTTGATGGGAGAGCTTTATTAATTATTTTAGAACGATCTATGCAATATCACTTACTTTATGACTTCATGTACATAGCTTTTTCGCGGTCTATGCTAGCTGCTACATATACGAAAAACAATACAGATCAACTCATATCTATCATAATCTCAGTACAGAGTACTAAAAAACCGACCTCAAAAGTACGTGGAATTACCTCTATTTGCTAAGTTTTATTGAAATATCCCCTAGTTCGCCACTATACAGGACTTGACACTGGGGATAATAAAAATCGGTTCTCACTACTGAAAGAAAAACGCCTTGAATTGGAGAAATAGCAAAATCAACCATTAAAGTAATTGATCCCAAATTAAAGTTAGGCGCTATTTATAAAAATGAATCTTCATGCGTGAACAGCCACCCTTCGAGGTGGATGATTTTCTTCAAAATGAAATGGGACCACTATGGAAGTACCCCCTTTCCAACAAAAAAAGAATCATGAAAATCGGTTCACAAATACCGAAGTTATCGCGTAACATACATACAACGATTGAGAACCTCCTCCTTTTTTGAAGTCGGTTAAAAATAAAGTTTTCATACCAAAAATAGGATTTCTCATCGAAATACCTACTGATTTCGCATCGAGATTGAGTATTGGCGCTTCACCGATCGCTGCCGCGACACGCTCGTTTTCTCTCTCAGCTCGTGCAACTTTAATGTCGCAGTTCTAACCAAATCTAGGGGAAGTATCAGTGCTATAAGATTATTTTTATGTATTTTCGAGCCTAATACTACTCGCAACGCTCGTCATTGCACTTAAAAAACACAGTGACTATATCTATATTCTTGAAAGGTTTATATAAAATGTACATTATGCCATCGGTATATTAGATTAAAAATTGTTATGTCAATCTTCTATTATACCCAGTGCCCTTTACCTATATCATGCAAGAATATGTCAAATGTCTGTTACCATAAATTAACCCGTTATGTACTAGCGTTGCCATATGACAACACGGTATTCAAAAAATATAAATTATTGTGTATCCAAGCACATTTACGAATTAAAAAAAAATAATGTGACTTTAATTTTTTTTTATTTTGTCGGTATTTAAAACTTTGTTGGAAAAGTCGGAGAAATGGCACACCAAAAAATGTAAGTAAGATTTATTATTAATATGTTAAAGTGTTATAATTTATGAACATATTATTTTTGTCACCTTTGACATATAGTAGCGTAAGATATAAAAACAGAATTGTTAAAAATTACATACATTATTACAGTTTCATTACCGTTGCCATTTGGCAACGCTAGTCCGTATAAAGTACATTTTTTCACAATTTTACACTGGCTTTGGCTGAAGTAGCCGATCAACTTAAAACAGTGAAGATGACCACATTCCAGACGTGTACATAGAATCATCGGATGTGGCAGAATTTATCGACCAACATTCTGCGAGTGAAGACGAGGACTCTGCCTACGTGGAAACCCTATCAGGTCGACACCTTCGCGCGCCAGTCGAGCTTCGAGTTACATCTCCGAAGCCGGTGGATACCTCCGGCCCTCCCAATAAAAGACGCAAAATCTCTAATCATGCTTGGAAAAAATAATTTCCTACCTGACCCCGAAATCATATGTCATGAGCTAAAGTATTTTCGAGCCATTTTAGTAGTATCAGGGTACAATAAACAACATAGTAAAAAATCGTATTGGTACGGGGTTGATGATATATTATACCAGCATTTCCCAAAGTGCGCGATAACGCCCCCTTGTGGGCGCTGCAGGTCTAAAGGGGGCCGGTAAGAGACCCAGAAAAAAAAAATGGGGGCGTTGTGT